GAATGTTGGAACTGGACCATCTCACTAAATCCAAAACGCTGCAAAGGAAACAGAGGTTACAGTCTCAAGAATGTTATGGTAGCTCTTCTCAAATATACAGCAGTAATATCTTAAACATATTGTAATATATTTTGAGTAAATAACTTGGATGTTTGTTCAGAATATCAGACAGGTGTCGAGTAAGGGCTGACCACGTTATCTTGCCTACCGTTGCAGCTTGATTGCTTGTTTATTTAGTTCCTTATCAGTAATGGTAAAAGAAATATTCTGTTCCTTTACTGTGAAAGCAATACCACAATGTGTTCCAAGTAAAAGTCCTACGAAACTTTATGCAAGTAGCCTGTAAACTGCAAAATACACTGGAAGTATCAGAAGTAAAAATGCTCACTCCACCTCTCAATGTTGACATTTGTATTCTGTTATTGGGTTATTAGTATTACTGATCACATGTGCAATTTTTAAGGTTGTAGCTGATCGCACAGCTATTCATCACTTATTTATATACTATGCAGTGGTTGATATTTGTTCATCATATGACCCACATTAGATAAAAATCATCGACAAATAGCACTGGTACACTATATATATATATAAATATAAGAAAACACCAATCAGAGGGCCTCAACAATCGATACAAATTAAGGTACTGATGTCTCCCAACAATACACATACAGCTTTCACAAATGTGGAAGGGAAAATTAAGTATACAAACAATTCAGTATACAAATGCACGCAGTGGCTACATGTTATATAATCTACAATTGTGTTACTAAAAACACAGCCTATAAAAATCAGTAAGCAAGTAGCAGTAGCAAAAAATGAAACAGTTAGACTGTCTGGTGTGCAAGAATTGTATGTAATTCTAACCTTTAAATCCTCTAAAGGGCATCAAATTTTTAATAAAAGCAGATGAAACTTAAGTTTCTTTCAGCGCCGTGTGCTGTTATTACTCAGTGGTTTAAAGAAGTAACACTTTCTGCTCTGAAACTTCAAGCCAAGACAATGCAGGGCCCCTTGCAATTTCCTGCCTACAACAATAGTCAAAAGGGAGAGTGAGGGGTCCTGACTGGAAGTTGTGCAGGCTTCGACTCTTTCAGGAACCCTCAGACCATCAGTAGCCCAGCAGGAAAACAAAGTGGAAAGCTGCCCACAGTTATGGAGTGCCAAAAAATGTGAGGAGAGGATGCCCAAAGCGTGGGAATTTCACCTATCATATTCTTCCCAGGAATTCCAGGCCTGCGACCAATAGAGTCGTAACAGGATGCGTGTGTATGTGTGTGTGTGTGTGTTCAAGGAACTTAACCTTGCGATTTCACAATGACTGACTGACACACAAAACTGGGTGTATATATATATGTGTGTGTGTGTGTGTGTGTGTGTGTGTGTTATTTTTGTTTAATTGTTGCTCATTCACTTACTGGTAATGAAACTGTCATCTGAAAAACATTCAGTCTTCCAAAATAAATTCAAAAACATTTATTCATCAGCCTGACAAAGCAGTGAGAAATGTACAGGTCAAGACATTTAGAGTAAGCATGCTAACTGTGTAATGTGTTTATTTTCTCTAGTAATTACCACATTCAGATTCTGTTTAGGTTTCTGTACAGATTAAACAAGAGCAATAGGCCTACAACATTTCAACCAGTGAGCTTAACAGCCCCTGGTAGGTGGATTTTCTCATCTTTAGACTTTCTAGTCTTTGTAATAAGCTAAGCTAAGCTAAGCTAAGCTAAGCTAAGCTAAGCTAAGCTAAAATAAGCTAAGCTAAGCTAACTGGCTGCTGGCCATATCTTCATATTTACTGTGCAGATGTGAAATTGGTGACAATCTACTCATCTAACTCTGCAAAAAATAGAAAATGTGAAACTGTTCCTTTAAAACAGGGTTAGGTGATACTGTACCCATGAGGGCTGTGGCCTTAAACAACAAACTACTAATATTACTAAGAAATTCTGCCTCCATTAGACATCATATAGGAATGTGGTGTGGCAGGAAATAAAGTATGTAAGATAAGATATAACAGAAGTGACCGCATTTCTTTTTATTTTGAATCATAGTTTTGAAATAATCAGTAAAAAGCAGCAGTGCACGGAAAAACAGTCATGCACCGGGTACGATCTGGGTCAGTGGTGAGTTTTTAGTTCAGTAAAATTAGAAATACAAGAATGTTGGAAAACTCGACAAACAAACAAAAGCCTCATAATGTTACTTAAGTGGAAGAACATAAGTATTACCACCTAAATATACTAGAATGATCCCAGTGTGAGTTGATGTTATTTCATAAATATTACTGATGCATTAATATGTAAGCAGCACTTTAATGTTGCATCTGGTGGAGGTAATGCTAGTTTTATTCTATATTGTAATGTAGAACAATACATAGAATAAAAACTGCAATATTTTCTTCAGAAATGTAATGAAATATATGTATAAAGTAGCTCAAAATGCATCAAGTACTCAAGTACATGTACCTAAAATCGCACTTAAATGAAGTAATCAAGTAAATATACTTAGTTACTTTCAAACACTTGTCTGTTTAAAGCTCACTTATTTTCTTCTTTAATTTACTCTTTTTTGGAAAAAGTTGTGATAAATGTCTTTTGTTCTGATTAAATCTGTGAAATTCCCACTTACAGACTGCACAAACACAAACGAGTTGAAGAAATAGCCTACTTCCTCTTTTCATGTTGCAGTGCTGACTTGAAAATTATGGTCCAGTGAAATATTGTTCACTGATGACTGCATCATTCTCAGATGGGTGCCACCTAGTGGTGAGAAGTTGTCTGCCTTTGCCATTCTTTTAAAACAGAGGGAGCTCTTGGGATGTTTTATCAGTTTTTCCATGTGGTCTCTCATGTGGTATGCAACTAAGAGGAAAGCTCTGTGATTGTAAAGCTGGAGTCATGATAGAAGCCTGTGCAGTTAACGAGACAACGCAAGCAGATTTTTATGCAAAAGACCCCCCCCCCAAACACTTAATTTGGACACAAATTAAGTCTGAGTGTAGCAGTGCTAACTTGCTGCCATTTGCACAAAACTTTGTCAGATTTGTTTTTTTCATTGCCTGACAGTTAAAGATTTTTCTCCCACACAGAAAAGATACAAAGAAAACTGTTGTCTCTCTGTCAGCGATGTTGCTTTCCCTGCAAGGACACAGGCCTCTCAAGTATGCAGGATGTTTCACAAACCATTTAGAAAGGGGACTGATAAATAAACAGAGACACACATGCACAGATACACACATTGGAACAAGCATGTTTCTCATCCTCTGTTTTGGGTCTGTAGGAGTTGGGAGTCATGGCAACCAAATACCGAGGGGAGAAAAATCTGTGCGCTGCCTGGCCGAGCTCCATCCCTCTGGCAGTCATGCTCAAACTCTTGAATCCCATGACAAAAACAACATTCCTCATCTAAGTGATAGTCTTCAAGGAATTCCTGTTAAACGGAGGCATTTCTCAGTGTGCATACCTCATTGTATTGAAACCATCTGGTGCAACGTGTGAATGTGAATTCTTCTACAGGTCCACACAGAGGGACAAATTGTCCTTGTGCACACATGTGGAAGTTTGCATTGTCTTTTTTCTAACTACTGTACATGTGTACATGTGTATTTATTTGCTGTTATGAGACACTGTTCTTGTCTGACATTAGTGTGTCTCTGGGGGGTTTGCAGCAAATCTATGTCCTGACATGGGGTTAGTCTCCAACACTGTTTTCCTTGAAGGTACACTACAAAATTAAAACAATAAAATAATTTTTTGTTTAAATACAGGATCACAGTAATGGGTTAAGTAAGTTAGTATGTATTTCAGTTCAGTAGAGCAAATCTGGCCTGAGTAGAGATGTCCATGACCCACTGACCCCCACTCTCCCTCCCTCCCTCCCTCCCTCGCACATCAGTGCTCACTCTGTGTCCTGCACTATTACTTCTGCTTAGCCATGGTGTGATACAACACTGAGTGGGAAATGCGAAAGTCTTATAAAACAGTATGGAATGCAAACCTAAAGTTGCTCCACTTTTTCTTCTGTTCAGAGACGACATTCAACTATAGAGTAGGTACAAACCAGGCAACTCCGGATCCTCAGGGGCCCTGAGAACCCCAGGTTCACTGAATGTCAGAGGTTTTAAAACATCAGTCATTGTTCTGTTACAAGCAAGTATAATGCATGTGATCTTTACTGTATGTGCACCTGTCATACTGTTTTTGCTTACGGCTACATCCAACTGAGGTTTACCACATTTGCACTAAGTATACATGTGAATTACAACTGTAAAAATGCATTTTGTTCTCTCTCAACATCATTCAGAAAACAAAAGTAACAAGGATCTTGCAGACAAGACACAAAGAAAGCAAAGAATCAGCTGAATAAGTAGGTCCACTGGGTAATTCTCTGGTTTTCTCTAGAATTCAGAAATGCTATTGTTTGAAAAAAAAATACAAATACTTTTCTTGGATTCTGACTGCAAATTTGTATCACTCAATATGAGCTTTTTTATGTCTTATGGTGGGTTTGATGTTAAAATCTAGTTTTAGGAGCTGTAAGATCTTTGGTTTATTATATCTCACTTGGTGCATATTCCTAAATGAAACTGTGTTTAGTACAAGTTCCACAAAGTAATATGAATTAAATACTATTTCAGTGCTGGTTTCACTGGCCATGCCTTACAGTAAGATGAACACTGCTTGGTTTATGTCAAAAATAGTGGTTTTAATTTGAAGATGATGTAAGTCTGTGGCACAATGGTATATTTAAGAGTAAAAGTGTCTTTGAATATTGACTGCTGTTATCTTTCTTGTTCGTGCATGATTTCCCCATTGCGTCCCCATTGAGTCGAAACTGTAGTTTGAAGAGGAGCAATTTTTTCACTTTTTCACCGCTGTACATTTATTAGAAAGAAGCAAATAGTTTTCATTTTAAATCAGATACTATGTTCATTTCACCAATGTACTTCAGACCTTGAGAGCTCCTGCATGAGGTTAGGCCCGATTATCTGTCTGTCACTGGTAACAACCTTGAGAGTCTGGAAGAGGCCGAGACATGTTGTGGAAAGCCCACTGCAAGATGCCATCAATGGAGCCCTGCTGAGAGACAAAGAGCAGAAAAACATGTTTGATATCATTTTTTATGACATCACACAGCACCAATCTTTACTACCCTGTCTAGGAGATACACGTTATTACACATAAAGTAAAATAAGAACGCACCTCAGTGCAGCAGAGAGGAACTCAAACATCTGCACATGCATATTTCAGGCAACACAAAACAACGCAATGACACATCACTACCCTTCACTTCTTGTTTGGTCCTCGAGGCTGTGTTTTATCATGACAACACGTTCCCTGTCTGTGTGATATGAAGCGCAGCTATCTTGTGTCCCACACTCATGACCACATTCATATCACATCTACATCTGTGGTATCGACATGTAACATGAGCCCCACTCACATCTCCCAGGATGGAGTCCAGTTCGTCTTTATGGAGGATGGGCTCAGGGGCCGAGGAGCTCTGATCATGACTGAGTGTGTTTTGAACCACTGGGGTGAGCTGGAAACACACACATACACCCACACACACATAAACATTGGGGAGATTACACACATTACACCTGGACATAATCAGATAATGAAGGTTCATATTTTCTCTGTACAGACACAGACTATTCAAACTTGTACACATGTGCAGACCTACCTGTAAACCTCTGGATTCAGCCTCTGTCTCTGCAGAGCTGCCCCAGGGCCTGGAGCAGGACAAGCAGGTGGATCTCCCTCTAGCAATGGCACACACACACACACACACACACACACACACACACACACACACACACACACACACACACACACACACACACACAGTGAGTGAGTCAGACTGTTCTCAGTGGCATATAATGTTACTGTCAATTAATATGTAATTTCCAACACTCAAGAGAATTTCAGAGAAATAGATTCAGAACCTTTCACATGGCAACTTAAACAGATTACATGGGCTCTTCATGTTTAAAAAAAAAAAAAAAACTATCCAATAATTTAACTTTTTTAGATCATGTGGCACTGAAAAGATTTGGGCTTGTGATTCATTTTCAATTACAAATAGAGGGAAAAAAATCATAATTTCTCATCAATATACAAAACAGGCATAAAAACAGTTGAATAAATGGTGCTACAAGAGATCATCGTGGACTCAGGTTTCATTATGTAAAATCACTGATGCTGATTTAAAGTTTACATTATACTGTATACCCTGCCGCAGGGAGGATAAGCACATCAACATTAACACAAACAGGACTCTACAGGATTGACAGGAAGGGTTGTATGTACACAATGTAGATGACACTGAGATCAGGATTTGTCAACAAGCTCATGGGAACTAAACACGCTACAGACATTTTCTGTCATCTTCTAAGTGTTTCATTGTGCGTCAACAAGATGTAATTCTGTTTTAGAAGAAGAGATGAGTGGACGTCTTACTTCGAGAAGAGGCAGTGTACGTGGAAACACGCCAAACAATGGAGGCATTGATTCAGGTCTCCTCCTCCGAGGTGACAAACACCACACACCTCTCTCACACTGACCAGATCTCCACCTGGGCACTTGGATACACATTTAATACATTAAAGAAATAATACTATTTTAACAAGTAGCAGACACAAAATTACAAAATTCTAAGTGAGTTATCAACCAATTGTTCAGCTGGAAATTAAAAAAAAAAAAAAAAAAAAAGCATCAGCAGGACATCATCAGGTCTTTACCTGGTTTATGGCACTGGGCCCATTCATAGAAGCTGTGACACTTGTGAGGGAGGAGGACGACAGTGGTGAATAGAAAGAGACCTCCATGATGGAGTTACTGGAGTTGGTGTTTGTTTGCTGAGGCGTGGCCATGAGTGCCTGTAATACAAAACATTTTTACTATGATCAGTATCAGTATGACTGTCAAGTCACGGGCTTATGACCTTTGAAGCTAATTTGTAATTTTATTGTAAATAAAACTGACTAAAATTGGGGATATTTGTCAGCCACCGTTTATGCTGAAAATATGAAAATTATTGGAAATTCGAGTTGTTTATTTTCAATGAGTGTATCATTTCATTACCTTTGTAACTCAGTACAATAATCAAAATAGTCATTATAACTTAATAATACTTGATCATGGTTTTCAGACATCATCATACAAAAAGAGCATCTATTTTTCCAATATGCACAGTCTATGCTAACTTCCTTATCTAATAATTGTCTTTCAGGACCTTACTTGTAAAGGTAGTTGGGCTTTCTCTCTTTTCACTCTGTTGCCACAGCACTGTTCACACTGCCAAGTGCCACTGCAGAATAAAAAGTTAATGTGACATTAAAACCTTCCTTTTCAGGGCAAGGGTTGAAGCAACAAGGCGTCCCTGAACACACAGACATGTGATAATGTACTGAAAAGAAGAGACACAGATAAGTAGATTTAAGTGATTTGAACCATTTATTTTTCACCTTGGTATGGATGTAAGTGGAGGGTCGAGACAGATCAGATGAAAAGCTTGAGGACAACCGTCACAACAAATCAGCTCCCCTCCGTCCTTACATACTGCACACTCATCATCATTATAGTGAACCTTAAGACAGTCACACACACACACACACACACACACACACACACACAGTACATATAAGATACTACAAGGCATCACATACACATAAAATCAGAGGAAAGCCAGGTGACTGTCATTAAGAATGAGTGGAGCTAGGAGCTCTACCATGCCTGTGGTTGTCTCCCCCTTGTGGTGAAATGTGTTCCCAGCAGCCTTGGACTGAGAAGTCACACTTGTCTCCTCTAATGGACCACGAGAGTAAAACTCCCCACCAACTTTAATACACTTTCTGGCAGTCCCTGTTGAATGACAGCCATGAATTGAGTGCTGATATACAGACAAAAAAGTTACCACTAAGGGGCTATTTGAGGCCTAATTTTTACCAGAGGAAAACACCATATTACTTTGTAAATTTGATGCTGTTTAATACAGAAATTTTTCATCTCATGGCTTACCATCTGAGCCAAACAGCTGCTTGATGTGGATCTTTTCTCTGGCGTCATCGCTGATTGTGGGCTCAGTGCAGGGGGAGGAGGAGGACAGGGTGACTCCTCTCTGGACTGAGGAGGACACTGTCTGTACACCTGTAGTAGAATTTTGGTTACACGTATCTGTAAGAATTGTTTGAATTGTATATTAATTACAATTTCTTTGTAATCACCATTTCCAGATGGTAGCTGCGGGGCTGGAGCTTCACTCTTCACTCTGTATAACTTCACTTTACTCCCTGGAGCAAATACAGAAAATCATAAGATTGATTTTTACTGAATGCACAACCATAAATCTTTTCAAAGTGTTGCACTGCACTGAAATTATTTTTCATGTTAAATTTCACTCTCACTCGCCACCGGGAAAAAACAAAATCATCCTGAATTGTTACCATCTTTTTATCTTGAAACACAATGGACTGCAGTGACCAATGTTATATTGTTAGCATACAGAGTCAGGACAGGTGTATTATGGGAAATAACCTGACACGTTGCTTGTCTTGGCATGATACTGTGAATGCTGCTTGCGGGAGTTGGTGTCTCTGTCCTCGTGGCTCCTTTTCTTCGTGTGTGGTGTTTTGTCACCACCAGAAGATTTCTTATCACTTCTGGAGCCTGCAGCATCCTGTCCTGTAAGAAAGAATCACATGATATTGGAGATTAAAGACTAAATTTAGGGATGTAAATCATTTGAAATGACTGTCAGAACAGTACAAAACTATCTACCTTAACAACCTTCAGGGTTTAAAGAATCAGAGATATAAGACTTAGAATAACAGAACCTGTTTCAGGCATAATGAGTTTTACTTGACATGAGTAGCAGGTTTGTCCATGATCAACTTGATCAACTAAAAATATAAATAAAGAAATGTAATACTGAAGAATGATACAATGAATAGCACTTGGTTCCTCTGTTCTGACCTTAATAGCTTTGAGTAGTAGTCCAATCTGAAATTACTAACACGGAGAAATAAAAGAATCTTTATGCTAAGTATTGTCATTATTGAGCTGTGGATCATAGCACCTGAACATCACATACTCGAGTGCAGGTTAGTGAGCAGTGTCTGCAGCTTGGGGTAGCTGTCCAGGTTGTAGTCTTTGTTCATGTTGCTCCAGAAGGCCTGGATGGTGGATCTGCTCTTCTCCAGGACCCAGGACAGGAGCGAGTACATGGCCTTGTGGATCCCTTCTCTACTCTCCTTCTCTAGAGTGTCCTACAGATCCACACAGAGATACAATATACTGTATGAGCTTTGCAGGCTAAGTAAAATTATATATTTCTAAAAAAATTCAGGTCATCATCTCGATTGACATCCCAGGCTTGTAAGTAGATGAGTAAAATAGTCTGTCTAGGATATTTCAGTGGCAATACTTTTCAAACATCATTTTCTTCATTAAAAAATGTAACTCATATGTACCAATACAATTTCTCATGATCTCCAATGTATAATGGTTGCACATGTAATTGTTTTGTAATTTTCTGAGCCTTACCTTCAGCAGTTGGTCAGTGATGATGTTTTTGTCCGCCAAACCATAGACAAGAGGGAAAGGGTCATCTACAGCCATAGCTATGTCTGTGCGCAACTCCCTCAATAGGGAGCGAAGGTTTGTGTCCCTAAAAGCCTCCACTCTGGACATGATCCACTTTGTGTGTAAATGAGATCCAATGTGACCCGGACCGGAGATCATACAAGTGATAGTTTTGATGTAAGAGGTGTGTCCTACTCAGGGAAGCAAATATTGTACAGATGCATTGTTTCATGCAGACTGGGTATGTGGAATATGCTGAATTCCTGTGTTCACTTCTTTTTTTTTATGTAATCCTGCATTTCTACTTTTAATCCATGCATACTGACACATTCATATTCTTAAAAATCACGCTACCAGTATAATATAGTGCTGTTTATTGCCTGGCTGAGACTTTCAGAAACTCTACATTGAAGGTTTCACCCTTGGGGAAACCCTAGGAAGACCACCCCCTCAACCTCTTGTCTCTGTGGACTTCATCCGTCGACTAACAACACTAACTGCCTGTTGAACCCTCAGGGGATCAAATGACATGCTGTCAGTCCAGGGGAATACCTGTCCTCTTTCATCAGGAGAGATGAGTGTAAGCGACCTGACACGTCACAGTGACAGTTTTCTTCTTAAAAGGTTCTTTCCACCTCAACTTCCCCTTAACCATCAGATTTTCAGACACTGACGCACTGCATGGAGTTCATGATTAGTGTGATAACTATGAGTTTGCAATAGGGAGGAGAAAATGAACACTGTAAACAATTCAATGATTGACAGATTGATTGTACAAATGGTTGATCGCTACGCTCTCAACACAATTTCCTCAGCTGCTGTTATTGTTTCCTCACTGAATAAAGTACAGTCTTAGAACTTCCGTAATAAAAAGAGTTCAATAAGAAACTCCATGTTTCTACCCTAAAAAGTGCCTTTTGCAACAAAATAGGACCTTTTACGTTTATTTAAGTTTATTTGCTGCCTTCTACAAGATATGAAAATTTGTATTTTATCTAGGATGAGCATATAGCCTATTGTAAAATGTGTATATGACTCTAATGCGTCAGACATCAGTTAAGTATTAGTTCAGGCTAACTGTTGGCTAGCCAATTAGTTAAACTTCTCACATTAATTAACAGTTTCACAATTTGGTAAGTACTCTTTTTCTCCTTCTTGGCGAGAGAGAGATGAGATACTACTCTCATATCTTTTCATTTAATATAGTCTTTGGACTGATGCAAGTTGTTTGTTTCCCAGTTTTTAGTCTTTATGCTAAGCTAAGCTAAGCTAACCATCTCCTGGCTGCAGCTTCATTAAACAGACAGATCTGAGAGTGGTTTTGACCTTCTCATCTAACACTTGGCATAATAGCAAACAGTGTAGCTACTTCCCAAAATGTTGAATATTTCTTTAGTTGTTATGCTGTAAAGTGTTGTGAGCTTGTTAGATGTCAATTGTCAGTTAAATCAACAGTTAGCTAGATAGTTAGTTAAAATACTAACTAAACACTAATGTTAACCATCAAGTGTGGGCATGGGTCAGCCAAATATAGAGTAATGTAGAAACAAGATATTTTATGTCAAGAAAGTGGCTCAGCTAGCGAAAAATAAAAATGCTAGCTCAAATTAGCGTTAAGCAAGAGGGGATGGATTCTAGGGGTGTCTCTCTTTTACTAAAGTTACGTGTGTAAAATTATTCAAAGTTATTAAAGTGAGTTATATTTGGCAATGCTTGAAACAAAAGTTATAACCTATTAAGTGTTGTGTAAACAAAGACCTGGCTAAATAGTCAGAGGTTGACAAAACTGTAACCTTTCACTTTCATTCATTCGTCATTTAAACAATAAAATTACAAACATGCTGTATCTTTTACTGCTATCTACAGGGGCGCATAGATTTTCAGTTATGACTTATTTAAAATGTAAGCAGTGATGTTGTTAAAGACATAAAAACCTGATTGTGTAATATCTTATCAAAACCTGACCTCTTCTATTACGCTCTGTTGATGATAAAATAATATATCCCATATAATCAGTAAAACCAGACATAAAATTCAAGATAACATTCAATAGAGCAGACCATTTTGCTACCAGGTAAATGTTGATGGTTAGGAGAGTGAAGCCCTTTAATCTGTAATTTATTAATCATTAAACATTATTACATTATTCATACTGGTGAACAAGGACCACTTCTACAGAGGGACGTTCACAACATACATATTACATTATTATATACAGTGCAGTGCATTACAGTGGATCGTTATATGTGTATTACCGGGATGGAGGGATGGGAAGACTGGAAGGAGAAGAGGGATAAAGGGAGGAAAGGAGGCAAAGGAGAGGAGTAGTTGGAGGGAGGGCGGAGTTGTGACAGTAAGTTGTCTTTTTATTACTTCTTTTTTTTTTTAACCACAGTACAGTTTGTTCTATAAAAGTTAAACCCATAGAGAGATAGAGTGCCACATTTTCACAGCTACTGTTAGGTGAACCTACTGGAAGTTGACTCTTGTGGGAATATCAAATGAGATACGTTTTGTCATGAGATGCTATAGAGAGATGCTATAAAACATTCTAAGATAGTCAACCTCCTTCCAGAGTGCAGAGACCCTGGAGGGCAGGCCAAAGGTCAAAGGTCAAAGATCAGATCAGCGTGCATGCGTGCTGCAGACATTCAGACGTGTTCGGCCCCCCCACTATTTCTCCTTCTATGTTTAGGCATCATTTTTGGTGCTTTCCCTTTTTATATATAAAAAATACAAAACATAACAGCGAAAAGAATTCCGTTGGTTGTCCCGTTTTTCTCCCTTTTTCATTTTTCCAAAACAGTTTTTGTTTGTTTTCATTTCAATTTTTTTTTCCTCCCTTTTCTCCGCCAGTCACTTACATATTGACAAAGTATACAATATTTTACAACTGAACAAGACTGAGAGATAACATTTGATTTGTCCAATCAGATACAAGGCCCGGATCCTATATCCAATTAGAGAAGTCAACTGGAAGCTAACCAGTAGTAAGCAACACAACAAGCCTATGGTGTGAAGGGAGCTGTCCGATAGCAGCTCTGCATTAACATGAGCACCCACCCTCAGGGACAGTAGGCTCTGCTGGTTTGTCCAGCTTGATGTCAATCACTGGGAATCATCCGGTTAAGGAAAAGTTAGGTGGCTGGGAAAGAAAAAAATCTTATCGGTTAATGAAGCATTCATGCAGATTGAAAAGAACTGGAAAAACATTGACATTCACACATTACTCCAACGTGGTTAGCCTTGGTGTTAACCTTGTAGTCAGACCAGATAAACAGCCTCAATCAGATACTTTTCTTGTTGTAACATATTTGTAGCATTTTGTCACCAAATAAAACCAAACACAAAACAACACTATATAATGGGCTGAGCTGATTGTATTACTGCACCAAATATTTACACTGTAATTTGGAAGCTGTTATCTAAAGACAAATGTTATACGTATTTTTAAATTGTAAAACTGATAGAATAATATAATAAAGAGGTCTCATTTAATATTTTTTCATGAATTCATTGACATTTATTGATACGTACGTCTCTTTCCAATCAGTCCCTCTCCATCCTCCATCACACATCCTCAGCATATGTCATTTCGTAAACGGCCACAATGTGGTGCTATACCTGTGCATCCACACTATCTTCCTGGCGCTGTGCATTTCTTCTCTATTAAGCAAAAAAGGTTTAATGGCTCATGCCTCCGTAGACAGTAGGCTGGGCAGTCTGTTTGTAATAGTGCCAGCAACCACTAAGAGATTAAAAAATAAGCTGCCTGTTTCTCAGCTGTTTGGCTCTCAGGCACAATGAGTCACAGTGGCTGTAAAGGATACTGCCCTCAGGATTTGCGTCGTCCAAGCTTTCCATTCCAGGTAGGGCCGCTGCAACCCGACGGAACAGCTAGTAGGAGGGAAGAGAAGGAGCGCAGAGAGCAGAGGAGAGTTTTCTATGTAAAATCTTGTTTGTAAAATAACTAGCTGTCAGAAAAATGTAGTAGAGGTAAAATATTACCTTAATACTTCTTAATATAGAAGTACAATATTTAATTCAGAACTGTCGAGCAGTGGAGCAGAAGTAAAAAGTGGCATGGAATGGAAATACCTAAGTATAAGTAACTACAGTACTCGATTAAATGTACTTAGTTACCTGCCAGCACTGTTTTGCAGTGTCGGCAATGTTCAGGCTGAATGTGCACACAATCCATGATACTTGCAAACACTGTCACATACATTCACAGTTAACACATTTTATTAATCCACCTCTGTGACTCCATCACCGTAGAGGGACACAGAGATGTCAGAGAATCTGACAGCAGCTGACGGCCAAAATGCTGTGAAATATGGTGAAACTGTAGGCGTCACCTGTTTGACATTGCAGCCTGTTTTGGCACTGGTCTCGATGAACATGACGTTCAGCTCTTTGGCTCTCTGCTCTCCTTCCTCGATCGTGATTTGCCTGCAGGAGAATCAAGCCAGACTCAGCATCTTGTTGTCGAAGGCTAATTTATTCAGTTCTGACATGTTTCTTTTACCACCATTCTTTCTGCTCAGTGAACAAAATATCTCTGTGTCAAATACTATGTTAAATGTAGCTGCATGTCTTTTACGAACCATGACTAACATACTCACCTCTTCTCTTCCAGATCTGTTTTGTTGCCAACTAGCATGATGATGACATCACTTCCTCTCTCTGTCCTAACATCATCAATCCATTTGCAGGTCTGCTGGAATGAATTCACATCTGTGGAGACAAGGCTTTGGTTCAAATAGTGCTTCACTAATGGTTTAAAACATACAGTAAAGTACAATGCATGCATACACATAGGTAAATTAGCAGGTTGCTGCTCACTTGTAATGTCATAGACGACCACAGCTACTGTAGAGTCTCGTATGTAGCTCGGGATGAGGCTCCTGAAGCGTTCCTGTCCAGCTGTATCCCACAGCTGGAGCCTTACCTGCAGGTGCACACACATAGAAACACACACCTTCAGCAGCCGTTTGAACATCATACTATAGTACATATTGACTATACACATGTAAAATCCTTGTAAGTACACTTCCAAAGGGATAAGCCCATATCAGCTCATGTGCAGGCTGACAGTGCATAATATC